ATCATTTCCGATTAAATTGATATTCCTTTAAGCGATCACAACCGTCGACCGATTGCAAAACGCGCGATTGGTTACAAAAGCACGCGTCAATGTCCAAAGAAGAAAGGAAAATACAGGCGCCACCGGGTTTTTCTCCGATTAATACTAGAACAGTTTAAAATGGTAACAGTGAATATGGACAGAGAGAAGCGTACAATATCGGGCCAAGAGGACAAGGGGAAAGTATGCACGAGACGTAGAAACGTGTCTGGCATTTGTCGAAACGAATTTTGAAGTCGGCGCCGTTTTCGCTACCGATATCGACTTACTGCTAACTTTTGTTGCGATTTATTGCGAATTTTTATTGCACATTTTTCTCGAAGTAGTAAATTTAAACCGCGGACTGAATAATTTTAAAATTCTTTTAGTGCGTTTCAAGTATTATTATTAGCGCGAGCTTATTACGTCAGGTAAATTAATTTAAATTAGTAAGCAAATTAATGTATTAAACATGTTTATTTTAAGTTTACCGAGAGAGATATGAAGTATAATTAATTATAAGTATAATTAACGTGAAATATAATTAACGTGTACGTGTTTGTCTGTTTCAGGATGAACGGGGGCGATTGATGAGACGCAACATTGTGAGGTATGCCGTGCTCGCGTACGTCATTACATTGCAAAGGATTTCGCTCCGCGTTAAGAGGCGTTTCCCAACTCTTCAGCATATGGTAGATGTAGGTCAGTATAAGTTATTTATACATTTTTAAAATATATGTTTAGATAATATATTAGCATGCGAAATGTAATACGGAGAATAATCCCTAAACTACCTGCTTTCTAATCGCAGAATGATATTGGTAATTAAAGCATATGGAAATTGAACTTAATCTCACAAAATATTCTTGAAAGTATTTATAGTTATGATCAGACTTTTATAATACAGAACACAGATCAAATTAATATATTCATCATTCTAATTACTTATTTAATATATTTATTATTCTAATAATTTTCATTTGAAATTACGAAATTGCCTTGAAACATCCTTTTTATAAATCGGATTGTACAATAATAACAAATTATCAAAATAGTTTATCAAAACTTTTGTAATTGAAAAATTTTTTAATGTGTCATTACTATGATTTATTATTCTCTCGATGAAGGATATTGTCCTTAGCATTGATTTTCATGGATCGTTGCGATCAAGTGTTACTTTTTATAATCGCTAGTATTATTCGCGTTTTCAATAAACATTACTTTCAAATTTTTTCCACATAATTTAATTATTAATCTTCAGAAGTTAATCAACTATTGACAAAATTTTCTCTATGATTACCTTCAGTTTATGCGAATATATAAATAACATCTACACATAAAAAAGAAGCTATTTTTAAGAAATCTGAAAATATCTTTCCAACAATTATCCTAATACTTATAATAATATCTCTCACGCAATATTGTTATTAGTATAACTACAATCGATGTCATTATTGGTACTTCTTCCTGCTTACGATTACTGATGTGTTGTAATAATCATGATACGGTCAAAAATACTACCAATAATTACAATCCGGCTCCAGTTACTATTGTTCAAACTTTTTATAATTTATTAGATATCTAGCCATTTTTACAATCAATGAATGCAATGCATGAAGATGATAGCCCACCTGCACTGAGCGGAGATCGCTTTCTTCTTTGTGCACGAACTCGCGGCTCTTTTATCGCATTATATGTCACCTTTTCAGTCGACGGGCAAAGCCGTTCACTACGTCATCCATAGATATACAATATAATGTAACTTCGCCGCGTGTGCCATGGCGCAAGGACAGCCTGGTAGTTCTGACTTTTTTCGTTGTTCTTTGCATGTGTGTGCTATATCGCAATCACGTGTCGCGATATCGTGACCATTGAATGTTCGACACTATGACGCTTCTGTAACGCGATAGGCGAAATAATGGATAACAAAGTCATGTATTTCAGCAGTTAGCGCATTAAACTGTGTGTTACTTAATACCGTAATATTAAACAATAAATGTCCACTTAATATCCATTGCAGACAATAATTCATTTTAGCTTTGTTTAATATGTCAATTTCGACATAATTATCAAATTTGACAACTTTAGATAATAGACATAAATATATAATTAATAGGACACAAATTAAAATGGAGTATCTTTAATGGAGAGTAATTAAATATTATTGCGGCTATTTTATTTATAAATTTATATTTATCAGTCACATTTTACTCAAGCAAGCAACTCATTTTTAATAGTATATGAATATTTTTATAAAAATTAATAGAAATTTGTTGTTAATTGTTTGTTAATTTAATTACTAGAAGTAATAATCTGATAAATAAATACGAATAACATAAAATAAATAATATCTTTATCCAAGCAATTCTTTTCAATTTATCTCTCAGATATATCTTATATAGATGTAAAATTTATTTTCTCCATTGTTTCGTTATCTTTGTTGCATATAATTTTATCATCTACAAAGAAACTTACAGATATATATTCAACTTCTTACGATCCAACTGTTAGAGGGGATGTTACTCCAGAAATAGATTACATTTCTCCAATAAGGATTCTTGCGAATCGCATAGAGCGAATGCTCCATGAACATGAGGATACTATCCATCCTTAGATCAAGGAATAAGTAATGGAATCTACAATAAGAACTCGCTCTTTCGTGGAAATGACTGACTTCGCGGCGGGGTCGCGAAAGAAATATGTCGGCGCGATGAAGAAGCTTGGCTCTTAGAAGACAAACAGGATCTAAAGGAATCTTTACTATCGTTGAAACAAAATCTGCTCGACAATAGCATGCTTCGAGTGACAGTTCCATTAATAATACATACGTGAAAAATGCATTGCATTTCTATAAATAAAGTGATGCCAGCTTTTTCCAGTCTTACTAGAAAATAGCAGTTTATGAAATAATCATTAAATCATGAAACTGAAAGGAATGTCAATGAATGGAATGAATGGAATACTGAACAATTTTTACGATATTCATTAGAAATGTAACAATTCTCATGTTGTGCAAACAGCACATTATAATTATTGTCATCGTTGAAGAAGGAAATGAGAAAATACACGCAGAAGGTGTTTGCGCATTATAAATTTTGCAGTACAAAAAGAAGACATTTTCTGCAAGCTGCTCATATTGACTTGATTAAATTAATCATTATTCACGCGAAAACGTATGTTTATTATTAATTTTATAATTGGAATTAATGAAAAAGAAAATGAATATAATATAATAAATCAAATTATATTTACATCCGAATTTGCCATAATATATGCTAATTATTCAGAATAAATTCTTAAAAAAAGTCAAAATCTTTAATATATAATGCGTATAAATAAAAGATCGTGTAGAAACAGATGTATCTCGAAAATAAACATGATATCATATTTTTTCTTTAAAATAGGGTTCAAGACAATATAGTATGTCAATATATGGAAAAGTTATGAGCAAGAAAATTACTAACGCAAATATATATACATGTAATTTATACTTACGTGCGTCAGACTCCAAACAAATATTACAACTTTGATAAGAGAATATATATATTGTAAAAATGCGATATTAATTTTTACTAAAAATTAACATTGCATTCAAAATTAAAAGAGAAGGTTTATACATATGTATCTATATATACGTTGAAAAAAAAGCCTGATAATGACTGTTAAATGTTGAAATAATTTTTCAAATATTTAGTTTGTATAACAAAAAATAATTTTATTTTCTAAATATTTTGTAAGTATTACATTATAATATAAATAATTGTTTAGTAATAATTAATAAATATTCAGAAACGTAAAATTATTCTATAATATATCAAACGAACCTTTGATTGAAATTATTTTATTCAACATTTGGTAGCTGTTACCACTTTTTTTCAATATGCAAAAGCATGCAATACGTAGAATTGATCTTAATCGATTGTTTTTTTGTATTTTATTGTGTTTTTAATTAAAATGTAATATATTTGAAGCTACACATTGTATGAATATAATATCCGGTGATAAAGTCGGATAATAAATTTCGCAGAACTGACCGCACTCAACAAATATATTTTTCAAGAAGATGTGTATAGGTACACACGTACATAGGTACGTATGTGGTAATGCAAAATTGCCACGGACATCATTCAAAATGATTTCATGCATGCGCGTGTCCAACAACTGGTCGTTGACATTGATGAAGTATTACAAAAGACATGGAATAAATTTGCCGCTATGACTCGTGTCAGTATTTACATGTATATTTGTCAAGGAATCACTTAAGCCCGAAGTTTAATTCTAGTAAGAAACAGGAAATACAAACTTCATCTCATATTCTTCCAAATAACAATTACGAAATCAAATATAGTTTATTTCTAAATTGTGTGAAATTTTTTTTATGATATTTCATTCGAAATAATTTTAACCGAAGTAAACTTCCGGTCTTATTCTCGACTTAACTTTTAAATTCGACATCTATAAATTACCTCATGAATTGAAAATACATTTATATTACATCTTAAATGAGCATTTCGCGAGTGCGATATCAATAATGAGACGAACGTTGGCGCCGAAGATCCTCGTAAGAAAGTCATTCCGTTGCGTGTCTGTGATCGCGAACGATCATGCGAGATTACAGTGCGACGAGAAGAAATCTCGAAACTCGAGTCTTGAAAGTAGTCGAAATTATCCATGTGTACCCAATTCCCCCGGCGAATTACGATCTGGAAATCGTCAGGCGCCGCGACGGCGGTCGCACTCGTCTATGCTGTCGACCGCGACTACTTCTCGCGCGCCGGCAGGCAATTTTCACGTGCGTCCGGGTAATTTTCAACGAGTACGCCGAGAGACCGCTTAGAAACGCGGAGCGCCGGCGCCAGTTCCTCGTCCTTTTCCTTTTCCTTCTCAGCGTGAACTTCTTGTTTTACAATCGCATAGCTGGAGCAAGCAACATCTCACAGTTTCTTATGAGCTTCTTCTTCCTTTGCCTCATGCATCTCGTCCTGTTCTCGTTCTTGCGTGCCGCTCCTTCCTCCTGGTGTATACAGAAATAACCCGATGCGATTGCGGCCGATCCGATGCGCTAATGCCGTGCGTCGCTCGATAATCATCGGTCACGTCTTCGCGATTTCCTCGAGAGGAATTTCTTGGTCTTGGATTCTTGTTTTTCTCTTTTCCTTGTAACTATCCATTGATTTTCACCGTTAACGCGTGATACGCTTTTCTCTCTAGCTGGTCACTTAGCCATTTAATATGCAGGCAAATCTCTTTTTGTTTCAAGATCATGATCCACTGGTTTATTAATGGCTAGACGAGCACTTTAATATTTGCTATTAAGTTAATAACTCTCAGATAGAATTATAACTTTTTTCTGATGATATACCTGTCCGTCAATCTGATCAATCCAAGTGAGACAAATAGTCTATTAGTTCCATTTAGAGTAATTATTGTGTTCTATTGTATGGACGGGCTCGATATGATGCTCGGGCGTGGAAGTTATTTTGGTATCTGTAAAGTTCCTTGCAATTAAATCGAACTAGATGATAAATATAGCCAGAGTAATAAGAGCTATAATCTAGTCAAGACAGCAGATGTAATCGGCTAGACAGTATCACACTGGCTACATGCTGTCATTTCGTCTTCTTCATCAGCTCTACTACTCGCGAAAGCTTCAGGAATCACTACTAGTCGTCGTCGTCGTCGTCGTCATCATCATCATCATC